TGCAAGCCTCTGGTCACTACATTTTTGCCAACCGATCAATATGTGACTTCATTTTATGTCTGTTTCTATTTAAAGACATCTTATTTAGTCTGGGTGTAGTGGCTCATGCCTGTAATCCTAGCACTTAGGGAGGCCAAGGCAGGAGGATCACTTGAGGCCAAGAATTTAAGACCAGCCTAGGCAACATAGCAAGACCCCAGTCTCTACAAAAAATAGAAAAATTAGCTGGGTGTGGTGGTGCACACCTATAGTCCCAGCTGCTTGGGAGGCCGAGGCAGGAGGATCGCTGGAGCCCAGGAATTCAAGGTTGCAATGAGCTATGATGATGCCACTGCACTCCAGCCTGGACAATAGAGCAAGACCCTGTATAAGGAAAAGAAGGAAAGAAAGAAAGAAAGAAAGAAAAGAAAAGAAGAAAGGAAGAGAGAGATGGGGAGGGAGGAAGGAAGGAAGGAAAGAAGGAAGGAAGGAAGGAAGGAAGGAAGGAAAAGTGAATGAAATTGACGCACAATAATGAAAAAGAACATCAAAATTTTAAACATATGTTTTCAATGTATGTGGCACCTGGGTTCACCAGAAAAGTGGCACCAATTGCGTGCCCACCAGTAGCATAGAGTCCCCACTGTCACAACTGCATTTTTCATGCAAATGTTATTGAATACAACATACAAAAACTGTGCTTCATCGGGAAAGAATAATCTTTTCAACAAATGGCACCAGGACAGCTGGATATGTGCGTGCAAAAGAATGAATGTGGACCCCCATGTCCCATGCAGGGGTCATATAGTCATACAAAAATTAACTCAAAATGAATCAGAGACATAAACATAAGAGCTAAAACTATAAAACTCTGAGAAGAAAACATAGGGATCAATCTTCCTGACCTTCAGTGAGTCTTAGATAAGACACCAAGAGCCCAAACAAGTGAAAAATAGATAAATTGTACTTTATCAAATAAAATACACTGTGCTTCAAAGGACTCCCTCAAGAATGTAAAAAGCCTAAAGA